CTAATAAAATAACAACAATAACAAATTAACATTTTTACTAGGTTTAAAACAAGATCAAGCATGTACATAATTGTCCAGGATATAATCCAAAATTACATTATGTATTTAGAACCAGGAGGCAGTATAACTGATTTTCAAAGAAAATAAAAATCAGTGTTAACCGTGAACAACTTTAAAGCTATTACTATTATAATTATGCTTTATGAGGTCAAGTCAAAAACTTAAGAAGTGAATGGAAATACAGAAATTCTCAGCAGAGAATAGAAACTAAAAAAAAACCTAATAAAAAGACCAAGTAAAATTTCTATAATTTCATAGATAGAACAATAGATATTATTATGAAGAATGGAAAGAAAAATATTTCAGTATTGAACATTTAATGTATTTAGATAAATGAACAGATCATCAGGCACCCAATAGTACATTATCAAAAGGTTGTAACACATATTAGAGTCTGAGAAAAAAAGAAAATTGAGGCAAAAATAATTTGGAGAAATAAACTTCTCAAATTTGGTGAAGAACATAAATTTACAGATTCAATAAATTTGAAAATAAACACCTCTAGAAACATCATAATCAAACTTATGAAAAATCAAGAGTATATCTTGAAAACAGCAAGACATAACTGACAGCATTTCTTGACCCTACAACTATTGAAATTCCTGATATATTCATGAAGTTATCCCCATTTTCCAGCACAATATTTAGCATATTAATCAGAGTTATGTTTAAAGTTCCTGTCAGATAGTTCTAATGCCTAATTCATCCCTGGGTCTGGTTCCATGGACTGGTTTATCTCTTGATAACAGGTAATTATTTTCTTGCAGGATTCATGTTTTGTACTTTTTGACTGACAGACATGTATAAAAGAACAACAGAGATGCAGGCAAACAATATTTACACATAGAAATAAGCATCAGTATTTGGTCAGATTGTCAATACAGGAGTTGTGTCAATTTAGTTAGGAGCTCAGCAGGTTGGGTTATATTAATAGTATTGTTTTAATTACTTGTGCTACTCTACACAATTTATTTATTTATTTATGCACCGGTTCACTTAATAGGAGGGACTTTTATTATTTTTTAAAGAGAATTCATACAGCCATTGATTATACAGAGCCATTTCTAAGTGCTCTTTACACTTAAGAAATTGGAATACACCATGATGAGGATAATAATACCAAAACGAGATTGCTGGCTCATCATCTAGGGTACAAATACACACTTAATTATTTGACGCTTTATTAAATACAAAGCAAGATTCAGCCTCTGTGGTTTCATTGTACACAGCTAAAGCAGGAGCCCAGGAAGCGGAAGACTGCTACACAGTTTTCCGTGGTGAGAAAGATGTGGGCCTGGGAGTCCTGTGGTGTTGTGGGAAGATTATCCCATGTTCTGTCGGTTGCCATAGCCCTTCGGATGAGTGTCCTTCCAGTCGTCCCATTCCCGAGCTCTGTGGAGTGTTTGGTCATCATCGTCTTCTTCCTTTTGTTCTTGTTCTTCCTGTTGCTGGGCTGCTCTTCCGAACTCTGACGTTGTCATGGCTGCTCCGCGATCTGGCAATGCTCCACATTTCTGATGCTGATCATACCAGTCACTCACTGTCATGGATGCCAGACTTGGATAACCAGCTCCGAATACTTTGGCTTGAGCCCTGTTTCGAGTGAGAATGAAGGGTCTCACTGGAGGCCTCTCCTGGAGAGATGAGTGTGAAGTTGATGCCTCTTTTGATGACTCTTTTTCTCTCAGGATCTTTATTTCCTGGTCAATGCTCTCAATCTCTTCTATGCTGATAGCAATCCACCTCCGAAGGTGAAGGATGTAATATTCTCGAACACACTCATCATCAGCTCGACCAATTTCCACAGCAGATTTCAGGGTAGACAACTTATGCTCCACCTCCTTCTTTTGCCTGTATCTCTCTATTTTAGCCTGTCTTTGAGATGCCATAACGACGAGGCTAGGACAGGCCACCGAGGAACTAGCAGTGTTATTCTCAGCTGAGTTGCTGCTGGTTTGGGGCAGCTCAAACTCTGCCACATGATAGTAATGACACTGAGTTAAGAAGTTTATAAAGTGTTCCCGAGCCAGCTGCAAATGATCTAGACGTTTGCTGGGGTCGACTTGCCTCATGGTGAGAGCTCCTAGAAACGCTGGCACCATCAGGTACCTCAGGTCTGTGGAAGCAATCTCGTCCAAGTCCTCATTTCGGCTGAACAAGTCGAGCTGCGATAACATTTCGGCAGCCTTCTGGAGAAGGTCCAGTCCCTTGGACACCTTGTCCTGGACTATCCGGGAGCCGGTGGGTTCGGTGGCTGCTTCCACTTCTTCCAGAAGCTGCCCTCCGCTTTCGAAGAGGTCGGGGAGCCGCGGCAGCGGTAACCCGTCTTCGCCAGCTGCCATCTTGCGGGAGGCGGGAACCCGGAAGACGACTCGGCACGGCGCAAAGCCCTCCAGCCTGCGGCCGCCGCTTCCTCCTGCGCTGCGAGCCGGGCGCCGAGCCAGCGAGCGAGCGAGCCAGCGAACCCGGAGCTCGCGTCTCCCCGCCCCATTTCGGGAGGCCGGGCCGGCTGTTTCACAATAGAAGTCTCCCGACGTTCGCGCCGGGCCCGGCTGTGGGGCGCCGGCTCTGCTCCCCGGCCTCGGGCTCAGCGTCAGGGGAGGAGATTTCTCTTTGGGGTTGGGTGTTGTTAGCGTTTCTGCCTCTCCCCCCAGCCTAATAAACTCTGGCTTTTTAATGTGGATTTCTTGATAGCAAATCCGTTTTGCCCTCCCCCTGAAGGTTGCACACCTCTGCTTTTGTGTCGGTGCGGAATCCTGGACTCCAAAGGCTTCTTGTTTGTCCCTCCGGGGCGGATATAGGCGGAATGTCACACTTTGACCTGGGAGCAGTCGCCAGCAGGGCTTCTGTTTCTGCTGCAGCGGGAGGGGGGCATTGCTTGTCCCTCAGTATGAACATGGGAAAGAGGGTTTCTGTTTCTACCCCTGTCTTGGAGTCCGTGGCTATTTGCTTCGGCCCCGGGGATGGAAAAACATCCTTCCTCCCCCCAGCGACCCTTCGTTACATAAAAGAAGGGTTCACAAAAAGGCAAGTTTGCATGCCTGTGTGCCCCCAAAGGAGGCTGTTTTCGGTATCTTGCCCTGCCCCCAATCTTAATGGACTTTATGTCTGAATCTCCCAGATACTCTAAACTTATAATAGTCCCACACATGGTCTTTAAAATCATTACATTTTCAGCTGTTTTCTTCTCCGTTTTTATACCAGCTGCTCTATCCTGCTGTGCTCTGATAAAAGAGAAAAAGCCTGTGTGTCCTATTTCTCCTAGGAGAGGTTTGTTGCCACTTGGAATTTATTTTACATAGTCACCTTGCAATTTTGTCTTTAATGGGCTGAAGAAAAGTTGTGATCGGACAGATTTTTTTTTAATTAAGGAATAAGTTCTCCTAAAGGATTTGACGTACTAAATGGAAGCAGAACTGTTCTATTTTTTTTTAAATCGTGTATATAGATGGATCAATTGTTAATGTCATTTTAACTTAATAAAAATATTTGTTATACTTTTGGATTGTCATATCTGATAAAATTGTGAACACTGTTGAAGAGAAGGCTCCTGAAAAACATCAGTGAGACATCACTGCACATAATCTATTTTATTTTATATTATCTTTTTATTTCAGATTAATAAGAGGGTACAAATGATTAGGTTACATTGTCTGGGTTTGTTATGTAAAGTTCAAGTTGATTTCGGACCTTTAGCCAGGGGGTGTGCTGAATACCCTTACATTATGCCCTGTAGCTGAGAGACTAATTCCTTTCCCTCCTCCTCTCCCTGCCCGCCCCTTGAATTTAATTGTGTTTTTCTCTCATGTAGGGGTGTAGTTATTTATTGGTTTCATGTTAGTATTCCATACATTGAATACTTGCTTTTTCATTCTTTTGATACTTTATGATGAACAATGTTCATTCATTTATCCAGATTAATACAAAAGACATAAAGTTTCCATCTTTTACGGCTGAATAGTATTCCATACTGGTTACTGGCACAAAAATAGAGACATAGATCTGTGGAATAGAATAGAGAACCTAGAGATAAGCCCAACCACTTACTGCCATCTGATCTTCAATAAATCAAACAAAAGCATACACTGGGGAATCAAATCCCTACTTAATAAATGGTGCTGGGAGGAAGGGTTAGCCACATGTGGAAGACTGAAACTGGACCCATTTTAATCATTCTAATGTAGTAATCTGGCTTCAAATCCTAGTACCTGTCTAGGTATGAATGATGTGAACAATCCATTCCTCAACTTTAGCACTGTGGTAACTTACAGCTTATTCTTTCCTGTCACCCTAGAGCATATTCTACCACAGACGGTATAGGACAATGAAAATCCTAATAATTACTCACCTTTCATGCTAAACTATCTAGCTGGAAAGCTACTATCTTTCAGCTAGTATCCGAATATCTTTAAACCATCTAAGAAGAATCAGAATGACACTTCAGATTTGCCTGGGCTCCTCAGTTCCTGTTCCTAAGTTTGGATGTTTCAACCTTTTTTATCTAATGGCACACCTGAACCTATAGTTAAAATTCTGTAGCACATTTAAATCATATTGATTTTTTAAAAGTCTAGAAAAGGAAAGTACTTTCTGTACTTTGAACTTCTTTTGAAAATAAGTTGATTAATGATCTTTAAAAATTTTTGCTACATGCTTAAGATCTTTTCACAGCACACTGGTTGAAAATCACTGCCCTAAGTGAATATTATAATCCACATATGTATCCCTTAATTTCTACCTTTCTTACAGTCCGTGAAGAAAAATATCCTATACAATATTATTACTTTTGTGAGAAGCTGGGAACATTAAGGACTTAGGTGAGATCACACCATTAACTAATAGAACTAAAACCATAAGGTCTGACTTTTTACATTCCTTGTAGTATGTCAGAAGAATATATGAACTTCAATACCTGCAACTATTTTAAATGACAAAGCATATTTATAAGGCAAATGATTACTTATAAATCTGTGAGATTTAGCAATTTATCTAGAAAAATCACCAATAATTTATTTTGATAAAATTTGAAAAATATTTTAATAAGCTATCATGTAATTATAACAATATTCCATGAACAATTTGTAGGGAATTCCAAATGACCAGGAAATGTTCATTCAATTAATTCCTCTTAATATGGAATCAGAACCATAACCCGGAAGATCAGTATCAACCTAAATGAACTGAAGGATAGGTGTAATGCAAAATATATGTATCTTTCAGTTGAATTATATTGATATTATGGTGTATAGCACATCTTTTGGGGATAGGACACAACTCTGAAAGGGACTTTACCAAACAAATGCAAATAGAGTCACCTAATTCTTTGTATCCTCAATGAACCTAAGACAATAAAAAGAAAAAAGAAAGATATGTGTAGAAGGAGAAAATCTCTCTTAATCTTCATACACATTTATTATTGACTCATATTAATCTTTAAGGAACAGCTTAAAAATAAGATTCTTTTTCATTTCATTGTTTTATAAATTACCACAAACTTGGTGGCTTGAAACAACAGATAAAATATTTTTCTCACAGTTCTAGGGGTCAGATACTTATTTCAAAGTATCACTGGGCTCAAATCATTCAAAGTATCATCAAGGATAGATCCCCTCCAGAGGTCTAAGGGAGAATTTGTTTCTTGCTTCTTCTAGCTCTTGGTGACTGCGGTCATTCCTTAGGCTGTAGCTCCAGTCTCTTCCTCTGGGGTCACACTGCCTTTTCCTGTGCTGTGAATCTCTGGTCTCCTTTGTCTCTCTCTTATAAGGGCACTGTGGTTGCATTCAGAGTCTGCTCATATAACACAGAGTAATCTCTTTGTAAAATTATTGATTTAATCACACCTGCAAAGATTGCTTTTTCTAAATAAGGTTAAATTTTCACTCTCCAGGGTTTGATAATTGATATATTTAATGATGATTATCAGCCTACCAGAGAAGCCAAGACATCAATCTTGCTATGCACAAGAGCTAAAGTGCAAAGCAATGAACAAATAGCCTATTCCCTGATTTCTCAGTGAAAGAACAATTGTGTACTGGATGATGCTAATGCTTACCACAACTATGGGTTCACCTTTCTTACAAAGTAGCTGCTTAATAGAGTCCCAAAATAGATGCCAGTTTGCTTGTTTTATACAACTAAAGTCTTATAATGGTGGACTTGGTATGTCCAGAGTAAGTGCAAATGCAGTTTCATCTTAGTTTCTGTTCCCTTACAGTGTTCAAACTTGATAAAAGAAAACAGATGTAACTTGGAGTTTGGATTTTAATAGTAGACTATTACATTTATCATATATGGATGAATTTCACTGTATATTTGATTTATTGGGGCTTAATCATTAGATGAAAATAATCCATCAAGTATGCTTAGTTGACTGGGGATTTTTACATTTGCATAGTGGAACTTCATATTTTGTACATATTTTTATACGTAACTTACATATTTTGTAATGCATTAGCCAAGATCTTAGTTGAAGATCAAGAAGAGATAAGAAGGGATCAAGCCTTAATAGCAGCAGCACTATCACTTTCATGATTTCATCTCCTATTAATCAAGAAATGTTTTCTTGAATTTCTTGAAATCTCCTTATGGAAATTCTTTGGTACTTTTTTTTTTCTTTTAACTTGGAGGAAGAATGAATTAGGTTGTATGGATCTACTTTTCAAAAGTTTTGTAAACTGAGAAATTGCTCCATCAAAGGCCAACTAATGGAAATGATTAATAATGGAACAATGGAAAACCTGAAATGATCGCAGAGTAAAAATATTAGATATACTTTGATTCAATATGGCATTTTCACATTCAAATTGTTTTGGATAGACCAAGACATTTAATCTCTCTCAATTATAGAATACTCAATTGAAAAAGGAATTTATTCATGCTTAATTTTTAGATACAATACAGAAAACAGAATGAGACTGCATAATACAATATTTTGTTAGCTATAAACTATTATTTAACAAGGGTAAGCTAGAAATCATGATCGACAGGATAACACACCATCTAAATTTCAAAAACATAGGCGTTGCTTTGGACTCAGACATACAAGCTACATGACATCATCTGTTTTACCTCCAGCATTCCAATCTTTAAAAGAAAATAAGATTTCATCATCAGCTCTATCAACTTTTGCTAAGTTAATGAGGCAGTATACCTAAATGAACACAGTAAATTGAAAATGTTTCTAGAACTGAGGACTGCTTTAATAATAACATTAATATTGATGATGATATAATGACTGGTGATCAATCATGTTGGGAATTCCTTGATGTAAATAAGAAAATATTTCTTAGTAAAAGAAGTCTTAAAATATAAAAATGTGTAAATTGATAAAAGCCAATCAGAAAGACGGTTATCTTTTACCTG